AAATTCTGTTTTCACTTTGTCATTATGGGGTACTGAGTGTAGATTAATGAGGAAAAAAAATGAATTTCAACGATTGTAGTATCAGGCTGAAATATAACGTAATTGAAAAAAGTGAAAGGGGTCTGAATACTTTCCAAATGCATTGTATATACAAGTAAAGCCAAGCAAGCCCTACAAAGGCAAAGATACAAACATTTCATTTTCATACCAGTTTTAAAACTAAAAACAAACCACCATTCTTTCTCTTCCATGTTTGTCATCTTGTTCACAAAACTACAGTAAAATCAGGATGATTTGGAAGCAATTTTAACCTCTGGCTCACGTTTCAAATGTTGTCATCAGTGATGGGAGCTGTCTCTTCTCCTCACTTAAAAGGTTCCATGGATAAGTCAAACCCCACCCCTATTAAGATACTCTGTTTCATCTTTAAGTCCAGAGAAATCAGGTACTAATGGCTGAGGCTTATGATAAAAAAAAGTTCCTTAGAAAACTAGAGTAACAGTGATATTATATTGATAAGGCATGGAAAACAAATTCTATGTTCGACTGGATCAGGACAATCCCAAACAACTCTAGATGAACGTTACTCCTTTTGAGATTATTTAGAATGCTATAGTTCTTTCTGCAGAGCAGAAAAATGGGTGTAGGAAATATCTACATGATTTGGCTTGATTTAAATAATTGTTCCTTTCACTATTGTTCCTGATGCAATTAAGAGTCAGTCACATCAAAGCGCTATTTTTTCCAACAGCAATCATGTCACAGAAATGGTGTGTATTTGAGGCCAAAATCAGCGAGGAAAAACTTGTGTGAATATACATTGCTTGTGGACTACAAATGGGAATGGATGGCTTTATCTCGAAGACTATGCTTGTTGCCATGGTTGAACAAGATTTTAGCACAGAAATTAAGATGGTTTCTACAGCAAACATGAGTCCTTCAGTGACCCTTCACACTTAGTCCCAGATAATTGGCCATGCAGTTTCTTGGATTTTCAAGCAGCATCAGAACCCTGGCCTGGCCACCACGATCCTCCTGTGATCCCTTTCCTTGACGATGGGACTTATGAACTGCTGAACTCAGTTTCACTTCTTGGGGCTAAGAGAGCCAAGTGGGGAACCTTGCACATAGGCCAGGATGGCATTTTGAAGAAAACTGGCCCGCTGAGCTTCCTCCTCCCTTATCCTGGAGATTTCTGCTTCGCGAACCCGTAATTTCTCAAGCAGGCTGGAGATTTCACCCTCTTTGTCCAATAGTGCCTCCCGGTGGTTACTGGACAACACTAGAAAAAGAAGAATGAAACATTAATGCACTTAGACTTTTTAGACTCAGGATACTGAAATCCTCTTAAGGCAGAATATATTTTACATGGCCGCAAGAGATAACTACAAGACATTAAGTTACATAATTTTTTAGGTGGTGGAAACATCTAGATAGCTACTCCAAGATGATGTCATTGTCTAAATCTAGAATGAAAGAATAATCAAATCAGGATACATTAACTGTGGCTGATTCCTCCCTAAAATACCATTAGCTTGGCCACAGAAAAGATTTACAGCATTATTGGGCAGTGATGGGCTTCAGGGTTTAGTGGCCATGTTTAGACAATAGATTTCCTGACGTTTCGCCAGCAACTGTGGCTGGCATCTTCAGAGGCAAGGTGGTCAGACCACAGGCAACTGAGCAGAGACTGACTGGGCTCCTGTTGTTATAGCCAGGTGTCCAGATCATCTTACCTCTGAAGATGGCATCAGGAAATGTGTTGTCTAGACCACGGTCACTAAACCCTGAAGCCCAACACTGCCCAACAGATACTGGCTGTGAAAGCCTACTCCAATATATTATCAATTATTCCCCAGTAAGCAAATGGGGAACTATCTCCAGCCAGAGAATTTAATTAGCTTTTGGCAAGCATAAGGAGGGAGGATGGGATGCTACAGTGGGGGAGATGGAGGTGAGACACAAGGCATCTGTGGACCAGATGGGACAAACAGTCCCCATCACTTATATCTAGGATTGCAGCCTTTAATCATGTGCTGCAAGTGAAGTTGGTCCATGGGAATTATTATTATTACTGTGGTTGGTCACACAGGCAGCCAGATGTTTAGACTGGATTTGGCATATTTGTCCATCTATCGAGTCCTTCCCAGGGACATGGATTAGGCAGATGCTGCTGTTTAATAATATTAAAGGCATCGTTGCAGGATGTAAGCTGTTCCAAGTTGTTGTTGTTATTATTACTATTCTTGCTTTCTTCTTCTAGGCAGACTGGGACGATAACAGGGATAAGGGCAGTCTCAACCTAGGAGGAAATGAGCTGCTTGGGAACCATATAGTTGTGGAACTCCCTACTCAAAGGGCACATCAAGAGATACGGGAATGGCGAGAGTATATTAACAAGCTGACAGGAGGGCCAAGAAGCATACATGGAAGTGGGAGGTAGATGCAATCTCCCACTGGAGAAAAGGCTAGAGGTAGCCCGCATTGCTGAGAAAACCAAGACCCACCATCTGTCTCCTGTGTCCCTGCTCTCACAAACGTTAGCTCCAGCTTTGGGCCATCACTTATGCTTCAGTTAGGTAGGGTATCGATTACTGGTGCAGCCCCTCCTTGTAGCAGCATGATGGCACATCGCATAAATTGCTGCAGGTACTTTGGTGGAAGAAGAAGGGCTCTTCTAGTTACCTTTCAGCTGGCGCTCAAGGGCTGCAATCTTCTCTCGCAGCCCTTCTTGTGCTGTTCTCTCAGCCTCCAGGTGACCAATCTGCTCCTGCAGCTCCACGCGCACTTTATTGACCTCGGAAACTTTCTCTTGTTCCTTACTGCTCAGCTCCTGTCATCCATAGCACATGGGGGCAAAGTGGTCAGCAGCATGTGCTCTGAACATGCGGCACTACAGACAAAGTCACCATACTGGCCATGTGGAGCACAACTTCACTATCAGCCCAGCAGGGCTGTACTTGCCCCATGTCTCATGCTTCCTCTGCCGCTCCTGGGATATGTATGCTCCCAAATGAAATTGGGTATGATGGAAGCACCTAAACAATTTTGGCTGATTGTGAAAACTAAGGAGGTCTGAATCTTGTTAGTACTTGGATGGGAGACGATCTGTTGTAAACTAGACTGGCAAATAACACCTCCCCTCCCCCCCACAATCTGAGAAGATAGGAATGGAAAACCACTCTGCACCATTGCCAAGAAAACTATTTGGATGGGTCAAGTACCCACAAGGAGTCAGGCTCAGTTTAAGGGAAGCTTTTAACTTTTTTATGATGAAGGTTATGTTGAAACTACTAGGGCAGTGTTTCTCAACCTCAGAAACTTTAAGATATGTAGACTTCAATTCCCAGAATTCTGAGAGTTGAAGTCTGCACATCTTAAAGCTGCCAAGGTTGAGAAACACTGTACTAGGTATATGCATGTATTTGAGTTTGAAACAGGAAAGGTGATCTTTAAAATTTGCCAGCAGGGACAGTAAGTGGACCCACCACCAGGCAGCTTTCCCACTTTGGATCTGAATACCAGAAACATCACGAGAAGCTCTTGGCTCAGACACAGCGCTTCTAGGAACAGAATAAAACCTACAAATGCTGGGGCTCACACGTTACACTAAGCCAGATTTGTTTCCACTATGGTTTGTGCAGCCAGTCTCAACTGATTGGCTTTGCAGTACACTAAGCCATAAATTGCTGTTTACAATCCACAACAGCCAGATATCGTGTAAAGTAAAGTAGAACTGAAGTTATCTAACACACTGAGCCCAAGCTAAAACAACCTCATTCTGTGTGCTGTACACTACATTTGTTTAAATGAAAATTGTTGGTCTCAGGATTATGCAGGAGAACTTTCCTGGAGGTAGGGGAAGAAACTACTCAGAAAAAGATCTTGTTGATCAGACAATTTATTTGTTCTTGCCCTGTGTGTTTTAAAAAACACTCTACCATCCCTTGCTCAGTAGTGTGGAATCCATAACAGTATGGGCATCTGAACATTGCCTTTTTTTTTAAACCACACCCTGTGTCTACTCAGAAGAGCCTATTCCCAGGTATTGTAAGGAATTGTAGCCTACAGTTGAATGCAAATGTCAGGCTTCTTCCGGTGGGACTTTCTCAACTCACTCACCCGCTGAAGCTCTTCAAGTCGCCTCTTGAGTCCTTCCACCTGCAGACTCAGCTGGCCCTCCTTAGCGTGTGCTTCTGCCGCCGCTTGCTTCTGCTGCAAGCAGTAATTCTGAGCCTCATCACGGGACTGTGTCATCAGCCGCAGCTTCTCCTCCATGTGCTCCAGGCGCTGCTGCTGTTGATTGCCAACAAATAAAGAGAGGGAACCATCTTTTTTCAACCTATTACTGGTATGTGAGAACTGGACACATGACACAATTAATAACATTTAATTTTATTGCTGGTATTAGTTTTAATCCATTGATTGTTTGCCTGAATATGGAGGCATGTTAAAAAAAAAGCCCTCTGAACCAGAAAGCATCATCAGCCGTCCCTAACAGCCAGTTGTGCTGAGGCTGTTCCTCCCAGAATGCCCAGGTTGGCCTGCACCGTTTTAGATTGACCATGTACTGTATGAGTCGCAGCAGACCTTGCTGCGTATATAAGAAAAGGATGGATGCTTCCCTTTAAGATGCTCCTTGCCATCTGCAATTTTGATAAGGAAGACTCAGAACAGTTCATTCCCCTCATTCTGTTTTACCTAACAATAACCCTGCTGTGAGATGGAATAAGCAGAGAGAAAGTCACCAATTTTGTGCCAAACAATTTACGTGGCTGACTAAAAATTTTAGCTTGGAGCACTTGACAACTTAATGTTAAATTCTCCCCAAATGGACATTCATGCAAACTAGCTGTTGATCATCTCAGCATTTCTCAAGTTATAAGAAAACAGCAGCCTCAGGCGGTCCTCTCCTCTCTCCTTGATTTTACTTCCTGATGTATGACTGGCAAGAGTAGGCAATCACAACATGTGATGGGAAACAGATTACAGTATATTTATTTATTTTATTTATTTATTTAACTTGTCCCCGCCCATCTCCCCACAACGGGGGACTCTGGGCGGCTTACAACAAACTA